TGACAGTACCCCCCCCCGCCCTCGAGGCACCCCCTGCGGCACGCTCCCCACTCCCCTCGCCCGGGGAGCCGTGCAGCAGCTCCCCACACCAGCTCACCTCTGCTCCGCCTCCTCCCCGAGCACGCTGCCCCCGCTCTAATTCTCCTCCCCTCCCAGGCTTGCGGCGGCAAACAGCTGATTGGCGCTGCAAGCCTGGAAGGCGGGAGAAGTGGAGTGGCTACCATGCGCTCAGGGAGGGGGCAGAGGTAAAAAATAAAATTGTAAAAAATAAATTGGGGGCACCGCTTTTTCATGCCCCCAAAACTTGGCGCCCTAGGCAACCGCCTAGTTTGCCTTAATGGTAGCACCGGCCCTGAAAAGAGGAGACTAAGGTGGGGGAATATGATAGAGGTGTATAAAATCATGAGTGATGTGGATAAAGTGAATAAGGAAAAGTTATTTACTTGTTCCCATAATATAAGAACTAGGGGCCACCAAATGAAATTAATGGGCAGCGGGTTTAAAACAAATTAAAGGAAGTTTTTCACACAGCGCACAGTCAACTTGTGGAATTCCTTGCCTGAGGAGGTTGTGAAGGCTAGGACTATAACAGGGTTTAAAAGAGAACTGGATAAATTCATGGAGGTTAAGTCCATTAATGGCTATTAGTCAGGATGGGTAAGGAATGGTGTCCCTAGCCTCTGTTTGTCAGAGGGTGGTGATCGACAGCAGGAGAGAGATCACTTGATCATTACCTGTTAGGTTCACTCCCTCTGGGGCACCTGGCATTGGCCACAGTCGGTAGACAGGATACTGGGCTGGATGGACCTTTGGTCTGACCCAGTACAGCCATTCTTATGTTCTTATGTCTAATGCCCCATAATTTCCCACAGCTGTGAAAATTTAAATTAATAAAAATAGAAAAATGCTTAAAATGCATTGAAATTATAAAAGTTGAATTCTGCCAAGTCTATTTATAGCATAAAAGGCAGTTAAAACTACATCCATACATTACTAATGCTGCTGTTCGGTGTAAGTAAGTGCTGTAGTTGCCACAAGGATGTTATGTAAGCATATCTTGTTGTGAGCCACCTCCCTTTCTGTTTAATCGCTGTATGAACAGTTAGTCCACAAAATGAAAATGGGTGAGACTCCCTGGATTCTGTATTCCATTCTGTATACTTCTTAAAATGCTCTGTAGAGAGTCTCAAGGACTAAAATAACAGCTCTTATGTATTAACTAGTGACGATGAAGCAGAGATTCCCTTCTTAATCATCTGACCAAAGTCATCCCTGGTGTAACTCCACTAAAGGCAATTATTTTTCATGCCTTCTTGACAAATCTTTCTCCCACACCTTGGCCCATCACGATTAGCCAGTAAACTGCTCACACCTCAAACAAATGTTCCTGGATTTTAGGCTGTTTTATTTAGTGAGTGTATTTGATGGTGCTTTTTTCTATCTTGTCAGGGCTAGTTATAGTCTACTTTCTTTCAGGGCTTCCACAAGCTTAAACTTTTAGGTGACTGAAAATGATGTCCTTAACTGCTCCCAAAACAAAACATGTAAGCCATCTAGGGTGAACAGAGAAGGCTATGTACTAGGATGGTGTTTCTAGCTGTAGGTACAAGTAACTCAGACTGTCATATACAAAATACTTTTCTTTGTTGATACAGCTTTTTATTTTGGATCTATATTCATCTGGTAACAAGCATCTCTTTATATTTCTGGGCTTTGACATTCTAGTACAATGTAACCTATCATATGAAGGCACAAATCCACTAAATAATAAAATGAGGGATTATTTCCACTGCTCATCTGTTAGCAGAGATTTCTCTAAATTGGATCAACCTGATTAAAGGTATTAGAATGACGTCTTGTAGATCCAGATCAACTCGTTTGAAATTTTGAGACTGTTTTTCTTTTGGTTGGAAGTGACCACCAGAAATAGGTGTAGGTGCTATTTGCAAATTATCTCTATTAATGTGCAATTGTTAAGTTGAAACTTTTGTTATTTGCTTGCTTGGGTCCTAGGTTAGGGAGCTCAAGATGGAAGGACCGAAAAATGGATCACTTGAAAATATGCTACGCAGAGTCTTTTTAAAGGCCTGAATAGTTCTAAATTTGCTCACAGGCAAGAAAAGGAGTAATACCGTGGAATCTTTCAATATCCAGTATTACAAAGATGGCACTACTAAAAGTCAAATTCAACCAGAAGAAAAGGGTAAAACTAGCTCAGGGACTATGGCTCATGAACTGGTTTTCAGTGTTCGCAGGAATCATTGTTTTTAGCATGGGATTGTTCCTCAAAATTGAGCTCCGGAAGCGAAGTGAAGTGATGGACAATTCTGAAAGCCATTTTGTGCCCAATTCTTTGATATTGATGGGTATATTATCTTGCGCCTTCAATGCTCTTGCTGGCAAAATTTGCTATGATTCTCTAGATCCAACTAAATTTGCAAAGTGGAAGCCTTTGCTGAAACCTTACCTGGTGTTATGTTTCTTTTTTAACTTCTTCATTTTTTTCATTGCTCTGATTTGCTTTCTCATGAGGGGCTCTCTGGAGACAACATTAGCATATGGGCTAAAGAATGGCATGAAGTTCTACAGGGATACTGATACCCCAGGAAGATGCTTTATGAAGAAGACAATTGACATGCTCCAAATTGAGTTCAGATGCTGTGGAAACAACGGTTTCAGAGACTGGTTTGAGATTCAGTGGATCAGCAACAGATACCTGGATTTTGGCTCCAAAGAAGTGAAAGAGTAAGTTGTTTAATGTGGTTTATTTTACATTCTAGCATTATTTAATCCATCTCACATTTAAAAGATCTACATTGAAACAGAGATGGAAGTACAGAGTTGCTATACTACTTTTGGTTAGGATGGGTTTTCTCTCCATTTATACTTTAAATCAGGAGACCAATATTCCAAGGTCTCAAACAGATGACTATCTCCTGACAAGTTCACCCCACATTATCTGGAACATAAAAACGTAATACTCTGAGATATTATCCTCTTCTTATACAGTCTTAAATATTAAAAGGACCATATAAAAACATCTTAAGTTTTATTGACCATTCAACAGGCTTTCCTTTTGTATATTTAGGCTTGGAAGAACTCACTTTTTATTTTTTTAATCGATTGTTTATTTTTAAGCATTTTTATTGATTTTAAATTTTCACAGTTGCACAAAATAGTGTGGGTTTAATCATTTTTAAAAAGTTAAATTTTCACAGTTGCAGGAAATTATGCAGGGGTGCCAGACAATAATTATTTAATAACATATGTTGATTCAAAAAGTTAAAGCTTTATAACCATTGGAACACAAATTGTCAACATCCCATGTCAAAATATACAAAATAAATATCCTTAAATCAAACTCTAACATGGTCTTAGGCAGCATTTCTTACTTTTCCTCTTTGTACATTTTAATTATTATAGATGGAAATATTTTTTCATCAGTGGGTGGGTGTATAGTGAAATCAATGTTTACTGACATTTTATTCCAAGCCTATGTATATTTCAGCTCTTCCTCTCATAAACCCAGGTGCATAGAGCATTTCCCTGCCTTCTCCAAAAATAGAGTACCTGAATAACAAAGCATTAAACTCTACCTGTCCTGAAGAGAATTTCCATTGAATAATACTGACTTACTGTTAAAAAGGACCCTGTCTTGCAGAACTGTTGGAATTGTTAGACTCTGGCATTGTATCACTACTTCATCTTTATGAAAGCAAACTGAAGTATATTATTTCCTTTACTATTAAGTCTGTTTTTTAAAATCAAAACTACAAGGTTGTTTATCCCTTCAGCATTTTAATTTTTTACTTCCCTTAATGGGTTATTATATTCTCTCTACAATGTTGTGCTATTAACCTTTGTCGACTTTTGGGATTCGGTGCTTGTCCTTTAGTAGAAGTACTTGCAACTAGTCGGCTTTATGTGTGGGTGCTTTAATATGTGAACAAATTGCCCCCACCCTCAGATTATATGAAATTAAAGGGAAAATACAAAGAATAAATCTACTGAATTCTTCATGAAATAGGTAACTGAATACAATGGTCAACATTATCTGTAATGCTTTTAAAATATAAAACCTATGAGTATCATGTTGTATCTGACAAAACAAAAGTGAGAATATCAGAGTGAAGGTACTCAGATTTTCTTGATGCACAGAAAATGAAGCCTATAAAACCTTATGACTAGAGGAGAGAATAAGATTAAATAATTCTTAGACTTTATACAGCTCTCTAAGTATTTAAACTGTTTTTGCAAACCTTAGGGACTTTACCTTCACACCATTCCTACAAGGAAGGTGCATACATTGGGGAAAATAATCCTTACTTACAGTTATGGAAACTGAAACAGAGAGGTTAAGTGACTTGCCAAAGGACACCTGGTGAGTCATTGGCAGAGCCAGGAGTAGACTACAGTTGTCTGGGGTTCCCAGTGCTGCACTTTAATGGCTACAGCTCTGGTACAGGGGGCAAACCATCAACTAGGGTAAATTGTCAAACCTCCACTGAATTTTGGTAAAAGTTACATGAGATCACTCCAAGAATCTGAAATAAGGACACAGCAATCCTTTTATTAATTTACTTCAGACTTTGGTGATACTTCAGACCAAATGAAAACTAAAATCAACCAGCCCTTAATGTTGTTTGCTGTTTTTCTTTTATAAAATAAATATGTCCTTGAGATCTCGGTGAACGTATACGACACACTGCTGTTAAGTTCATGTTGACCTCATATGGCTCCAGTATTTCATAGAAAACGGAACAGATTATTGACCAGAAACACCTTAATGGCTTGGAGGTCACTGTATAGGAAGGTCTTAATCTTCAGATCAATTCAGGCACATAAATTCCACTCTTAAAAAAAATGCAACAAACTAACTTTTGAATTAAAAAAAGATGTCAGTGTGAACACCCAGCAACTTCTTTGCTAAGTTAAATATTTAAGAACAGTGGCCTAGGAATTTTCATTAAAATGTAATCAATTTATAATGTTTTACTGATTCACAAAGAATGCCTTAAGCCAGAAAGTCTTTTTTAAAATAATTTATGTAACTTTAAATGACTGAAGTGATTTAAAAATATATATATATGTTCTCACATGCACCAAGCCAGATCCCTGAGTGATCTGTTGTTTGCTTGCTTGCTATTTTGGCTGCTTTTTAAAATCTTGAAGACACACAACTATTATTCTGTAGCATTTTGAACTGTGACATTATAACAAAGACACCTTTTATTTGTTGTTTAACCTGGGAGCACTTTGAGTTGCGGAAAATGTCCTTAGATATAAATAACTACTTGAAAGCATAATGAGATGTTCGCCCTGCTAGCATTATCTGAAGATTTGTGAGCTGTAACTTAATCCATCAACAACAGAAGGGCAAAGTACTGGGAGAAAACAGGATTATGTTGTGTTTAAAAAATAGGGTCTTGTAGACTTGCCCAACACTCGGGTGGGAAGTAAAATAATTTAAAAAAAGAATTCAGCTACCCACCAGGTTGAGTCTGTTGGCCCAATTCTGATCTTTAATTCAGAAGTGTGTATTGCAGAGGACTCAGTAAAGTCACAGGATGTGTATCTAGGGTGAAATCCAGGCCTCACTGACGTCAACGGCAAATCTCCTATTGATTTCAATGGAGCTAGGATTTCACACAGCATCTGATTTTTCTTTTTAAACATGCTTCATGGTCTACTGAAATGAATAGGATTCTGGGTGTTCGTTTCAATGGGAGTTAGAACAGAACCTAAACATGCTACATTCAGAACTGGATTCTGTTTGGTATTCAGAGACATTTAGGCTATGGTTTCAAAGCTTTGCACCTACAAACCCATTCATTTGGGCATGCTGCTACCCATTTGGCTGTCAGTTCACACACACACACACATTTTGCAGTCACCCTCATGGAGTACAGCTATGAAAATATAGCCCTCATTGGCTGTTATAGGTGATGGAGGAGGATATTTCAGGGTTTTAAAATTTCCCAAAAGATTTTTACACACTTCGCATGTCAAAGTCTGTTTCATGTGGGCACCAAATGTTAAGGTGTTAGATCAGCAAATAACCCCACCTTGAGTCCCAGCCCTCAAAGTATTTTTGGCCTTCTCAATTTTTGGTGGAAACGGGCACAGATATTTACAGTGATTGGGTGCTCTATAAATATCTAGCTGGACACACTGAGGCACAAATAATTAGATGAAATGGTTATTTTATTGAGTGCTGAACTCAAAAATGGAGTACAACAGGTCAATAGCTCCTGCACAGACTTCAAACACTCTTGTACATCTCATTGCTAAAGCACACTTATTTTAAATCCTGGGTAACTTTCACTTAAGTTAATTACTATACCCTACTATTGGCCATTGTCAAAGAAAAGATGATGGATTAGTGGTCTTGTTGGGTACGACTGCCCCAGTGACTGGGGTAGATCTTTATCCATGGCCATGGATTGTAGTAATCCTTTTCGATTGCCTCTCATGAAATTTACCTCTGTCTTTAACATTGTTTAATTTCCCATATTACTGGAGCTGGAATGTTGCTATTTCAACAAACAAGAGGCCTAGGTCTATGGAGAGGAAAAATAGGTTCAGGCTTTTCATGGTAAGTGTACATGAGTGTATATATGGAGGATGTAGGCAGCATCTTTAGAAAGTGCATGATCATAAAACTCTGGGGAAATTATCTTGCCTTTGAGAATTTTAATACATGAGAAAGGGGGAACCACTCAGCTGAATATTATCTATGTATTTACACTTTCTTCTGCCCTTTGCCTGTTCATAGTCGAATTAAAAGCAATGTGGATGGAAGGTACTTGGTTGACGGAGTCCCCTTCAGTTGCTGCAACCCCAGTTCCCCAAGACCCTGCATCCAGTACCAAGTCACTAACAACTCGGCTCACTACAGCTACGACTACCAAACAGAGGAGCTCAACCTGTGGAACCGCGGCTGCAGGGAGGCACTTCTGCTCTACTACAGCAGCATGATGAGTTCCATGGGTGGTGTTGTCCTCTTTGTCTGGCTTTTTGAGGTAACATGCTGACATGGCAGTTTCTCCATCTATGTCTGTTTGATTAGAACAGTGATTGTAGAAACAGCGTTGTTATCCATTGAAAAATGTACTTCCCATTTAAAATAGCTATTTAAAATAAATAATCCACCAATCTATAGCTAGCAAAACTAAAATAATAGTTAATGCTTGTTTTGTGGCCTACAATATTTTGTGCTGTGCATCAGAATTAGCCAGCCATCAGAGGAACAGGTTAATTTATACTACTCACCCCTCTTCCCAGAGTTGTACTGAGATATCATGGAAGATGCTAGCGCACAAATAGTCAGAAAGAAAAAGGTACCAGATTTCATTTTTGTTTCAATACAAAATACAGTTTTAGGAGAAAATAATGAGAGAGAGAGAGAGAGAGTCACACACAACAGAGAGTCAAAAATATTAAACCCATAAGTCAAAAATGGCGAGTGTATTTTGGAGCAGAAAGTGAAAGTAACATTCAGTGAAGAGATCAAGCCATCCCCAACATTTGGATCTGGAGCCAGATTCAGAGTCCAAACACCACAAGGTTCAGTGGTGTTCAGGTCCAGGATTTTTGTTTAGGCCTCCTGACTGATTCTATCAAACTACTTGGGTACAAAGGATAGGTTAGTTGAAGTGGCTAAATATAGAACAGGAATTCATTTCCATTCTGCTTTTAAAAATAATAGTGTGTATTGGTTAGGTGTCTAAAAACAGCACATTGCAATTATTACTGGACACCATTCCCAGTAGTGGAGTTTTGTTTTTAAGCTACATTCTGTAGTGTGAATTTGCATTTGGGTGAATGCCAGCTAACTCGCTACGGTATGGAAATAGCTGGAGTTAGTATGAGGGAGTGGGTATGGAGTCTGCCAGGATAGCAGGAGGGAGCCAGGTCAGCAGGGAAGGGTGCAGTTCAGGTTGGGAAATATGAGGAAGCGTACTTTGCAGTATACCTAAAATGGCTGCTGCCAGCAGGGAGCAGCCATTTTAAATATTTCATTCTGATGCGGAGTTACTTTAAGTTTAAATAAATACAAATCAAAGACTTATTACAGCCCTAATGTAAAGTGGTGGTGTGCTGTCTGCACATATTTTATTTCCTCTCTAAAAGACTAAATTTGCTGGGTTTTGGAAAATACAGTTGAAACCTTCAATTTCCTTCCTACCTCTAAAAATTAGTTGCATACCCAAAGAAAAAGCAGAACATGACGCGTTTTTTTGGTTTTTTTTTAAACTAACAATCACCACCCATGGCTGATATTGATGCTCCTTGTAAAAACATATAATTTGGGGGGAAATCAACCAGCATCTTTATGGAAAATCAAAACCAAGAGACATTTCCAAACGGGGGTGGAAATACATTTCTTATTTATACTGATGTATATGAAAAAAGTCAGGGAATTACAGGATGGAGGAGCAGACCATATGGTAATGCTAATTAAATATAAATTAAATCATGAATCAGGCCCCCCAAAATATTGAAATTGACTGAAATCATTATTTGCTTTTTAGTTTCCAGGTCTTCAGGGTGCAGCCAGGTCACATTTTCAAGCTTTTCTATGTAGCAATAAGGGGTGGAATGTTTTTTCTTTCATTTTTTATATGAAAGGTGTGATTTTCATACAATCAGAGGATGCCAGGAACTGGGGCTCCTGAAAAACACCAAACAGTGTGAGACTCACAATACAACCATGGGCAATGGCAATACTGGGCTCTATTTATAGTTTTAAGATGGGACACCTCCTATGTGGCTGGCCTGGTGTTGTAGTGTCAGAGCTGGGGATCCAGATTTGGGTCTTGAGCTCCCTCTGCTACCAAGAACAGGATGCTCTGGAAGAACTAAGTCCCTGTCTAACCAGATGAAGAATCACATTTATGATCATCCCCCTGCTTAGCAAAGGGAAGGCTATCGTTACATGGCGTCCTTAAAAGAAGAAGTCAATCTAGGAAACAAGCAGTCACCAATTTATACAATAATATGCCAGTTCTTTCTTTAAATTCATGTCAGTATTAAATAAGGAGAAGACTATTCTGTACTGAGTAATAGTACTAAAGGGACATTGACCCCTTAGCTTAGGTGAGAATTCAGCCTACCTACAAACTGAAATCAAGAGAGGGAATTATCCTTCAAATTCTAAGTAAGAATAGTCATGCTAGAGCAGACCAATGGTCCATCTAGCCCAGTATCCTGACAGTAGCCCATGCCAGATGCTTCAGAGGAAATGAAAAGAACAGGGCAATTTTGGGTGAGCCATCCTCTGTCATCCAGTCTCAGCATCTGGCAGTCAGAGGATTCAGCATGGGGTAGCATCCCTGACCAACTTGGCTAATAACCATTGATGGACCTATCAGGGCCGGCTCCACGTTTTTTGCTGCCCTAAGCAAAAAAATTTTCCCATGCCCCCCAGCCCCGCCCCAACTCCGCTCCTTCCCCGCCCCATTCCAACCCCTTCCCCAAATCCCCAGGCATGCAGCATTTCCCCTCCTACCTTGCCTGGGAGGGAGGCGGGAGAAGCGGAGCGGCAGCGTACTCGGGGGAGGAGGCAGAGATGAGCTGGGAGGGAGTGGTTCCTCTGCCCCCCCCTGGCCCTCCCTGCGCCCCCCACCGCCGCAGCTCACCTCTGCTCAGGGCCGGCTCCCAGCTTTTTGCGCCCCAAGCAAAAAAAAAATGGAGCCGGAGTACTGCCCCTTGGAAAGTGCCGCCCCAAGCACATGCTTGGAGCACTGGTGCCTAGAGCTGGCCGTGGGACCTATCCTGGCCGTGGGACCTTTGCAACATCCGACACCAATGAGTTCCACAGGTTGACTGGGTGTTGCGTGAAGTACTTTTTTCCATTTGTTTTTTTAAATGCGCAGCCTATTAACTTCATTGGGTGCCCCTAGTTCTTGTATTATGCAAAGGGTAAATAACATTTTCCTACTCACTTTCTCCACACTACTCATGATTTTATAGACCTCTATCAGATCCCCAGGCCTTAGGTGTGTCTCTTCTAAACTGAACAGTACCAATCTCTTTATTCTCCCCTCTTATGGAAGCTGTTCTATCCCCCTAATCATTTTCATTGCCCTTCTCTGCACCTTTTCCAATTCTACTATATCTTTTTTGAGATGGGGCAACCAGAACTGCAAATAGTATTCAAGATGCGAGCAGACCATGGATTTATATAGTGGAACTAGGATAGTTTTTGTCATATCTATCCCTAATATTGTAAAGCTATTGTGACTGCTACTGCACATTGAGCAGATGTTTTCAGAGAATTAACCACAGTGACTCCAAGATTCCTTTTTTTTTTAATTTAGACCCCTCATTTTGTATGTGTAATTGGGATTATGTTTTCCAATATGCATTACTTTGCACTTAACATTGAATTTCATTTGCCATTTTGTCACCCAGTCTAATAAGTTCCCTTTGGAACTCTTCAGAGTCAGCTTTGTACTTAACTATCATGAATAAGTTTCTATCATCAGCTAACCTTGCCATCTCACTGTTCACCCCCTTTTCCAGATCATTTATGAATGTCACACAGTATAGATGCCTGGGGGACTCTGCTATTTACCTCTCTTCACTGGGGAAGATGGACCATTTATTCCTATCCTTTATTTCCTCTCTTTTAACCAATTTCTGATCCATGAGAGGATCTTCCCTCTTATCCTGTGACTGTTTAGTTTGCTTAAGAGCGGTTGGGAAGGGACCTTGTCGAAGGCTTGGAAAGTGCAAGTACACTATATCAACTGGATCACCACTGTCCACATGTTTGTTGACACCCTCAAAGAATTCTAATAGATTGGTGAGACATGACTTCCCTTTACAAAAGCCATTTCTTTCCTTTTATTTTGATCTACACCAAGGTGGCTGAGAAGCCAAATAAAAACTCCACCATAGCGTCCCTATTTTGCTTTGTACCTGGAAACAGTGAGAGTTCAAACTAGCTGCACTGCAACGGCACCTAACTAGTAAGCACCATGCCAGGTTTTCAGAGCTGTGTGCATTCCCTCCGATTGTATCAGTGATACTGGTACTCGGAGAGAGGAATAAAGAGCAAAGCAGCATTGACTCCATTTGTCTTTAGAACCATTAGCAAGTACTGTAAATACCATTTGATTTCAAGCTTCTATGGGAAACATTAGAAGCAAAGAGTGAATAAATTGTTAAGTATTAAAGCTCCTTTGTTTATAAAAACATGTGACATGCCATAACCTCCGGGAACATTTAGACTCTCTACATAACTGACAATCTTGAATGTAACAAAAAAAAGTTCAAACCACCTTCTGGCTAATCCGCTTCAGGATAAATCCCAGGTAAACAGATGGGCTTTACCTCCGTGGAAGCAAAATTAAAAGCAGCCTCTAAAAGGTCAACTAATGCAAACTCTGGTGACCTTTCCTACCTGTTTTAACCAGTACACAAAGCAATTTCCAGACCTAAGGACTGTCTAGGGAACGCAAACTAAAGATTACCAGCAGAGATGGCTCAACTGATATCTAAGACTCTCAGAAAACATGGTATAAAACAGTTATACATGGATCTCAGCTGTCACAATGGCTCAGAGTGAGAGGTGGCTTCTTAGGTAGGCCTCATGAGTAGTATAAGAGTAAACCCAACACTTAGAATTGGACCCAGAAGCAAGTAGGAGGCAAATGGAGCCTTTGAAGCACGCAGGATATGCTCTGGATGACTCAGCCTGAAAAGCAAACATGCAGATGCATTCAACACTTCATGAAGCCTCCGAGTGACTTTCAAAAGGTAGCAATGTATGCAGCATGTTCCAGAAGTCTAACAGGGAGGTAACAGGCATGGATCATTGAAGTGACATCTATGGCAGTGAAAGTAGGTCTGTTATCCCAACACAATGAGTAAAAGAGCTAGGAGTAAGCCAGAGGTCTAAAATAACTTCATTGACTAAAGTTGAGCTCAGTCCTTCAATAGAACAAGCAGTCACCATTAGCCCATCATGCAGGGCCAGCTCCAGGCACCAGCCGAGCAAGCTGGTGCTTGGGGC